CAGGAATGGAGGCGACTTGTTGATGCCCTATGCGCCACTGGGCATTTAAAGGACTGATGATGACATTCTTTGTGATAATAAACAATGTTTTATTTACCATTTTGCAAAATATAATTCTTGAACTGTGTTTAAACATCTGTCTAAATACAAACTTACATACGCTCAAACCTGATGCAGATGAATTGTAAGTCCGGGGCTAATGTCAACAAGACTGTAAATCATTTTGCATTGCTGTAAATCAAATGCAAGTCAGAATATTTGGCTAACCAGCCGTGTGACAGAAATACTTTTTAACATCCAAAATACTACACAAACAAGAAAAGAAATATTACCTCCGAATTCAAAGTTTCAAGAGACCAATCCATTGCCAGGTTTCACTTTGATTCAGTACATGCTAACTGTAAATGAATGACTGAATGACTGACTGACTGACTGACTGACTGAATGAATGAATGAATGAGTGAATGAATGTATGTATGTATGTATGTATGTATGTATGTTTGTGCTCCATTCAGCTGCCGAATTTCTTTGTGAACAAAAGTCTGCAGACTGCTATATTTTGGAGGCAGCAGAAATAATGTAGTTTTCTTCATCTGCAAATTTGACTTTGAACTTGATAAAGCGGGTAGTTTTTTAGCAACTGCTTGAGCATTTGAAACCCACAAAGTTTATCACAACAACAATCAAAACACTCTGCCACCTCTCCTGCCAAACATTTTTTAACCACCCAGATTCTGGGTTGGCACGTGACCAGCCGCAACCAGGGTCTTTCTCCCAACGAAAAGGGAGGCGGAGGAGAGAGAGCCTGGGTACAAGGTTGGGGTGGTTTATACTTATGAATTTCATTCTTGTGACATCTCAGAGCTCCAAGATAGTTAATGAACAATTATTCCTTGAAATCGAGGTGGAGAGTGGCAGAATATTTACCAAGCCGTCATATTTACTGAGCCATGAAGCATCAAGGTAAATACTCGCACTGCTTCTATTCACCGAGATTGAAGAGAATAATTGTTTTAGTATATACACACAAAGTGATTTTAAAATCAGATGAAAGGGTTTCATTAGAAGTTGATTTACCTGACTATGCGAGGAAAACATGCAAGTGACACAAAGCATGCGTAAAACTATTTACAGAATCTTCAAACATGGCAAATCTAGTTAACCTTTGGTAAATCCTTGTCGCAATCCAGCAAAATTGTCTTTAAACATCGTTCAAATTGGCAATCTAAATTGAAAGTCTGCTTGCAAAACAATATCCAAGTTTTGAATTTCACCCGCAATAACTTGAAATGAAAAATTGAAAGAGCAGTTGGGGAACGATCAAACCGAAATAATACTATGTACTCAGGACAGTGGTAAAAACTGGATGTTTTCTTGCACAAAGATGTTCTCCTGAATACTTATGGAGATGCTTCATGGAATGGACCTTTTTGGCGATATGGTGGCCATAATTTTTAAATTCTTTTGGTTGAAATAGCTATTATGGGATGCTTAGGGGGTATACTAATTTGCCCCTTGAGCATCCCATAATAGCTATTGGAAACAATAGAATTCAAAATGGCTGTCATATTTTGGAAAAGGTCCATGGCACTTGATGCTTCTGGGGATGAACCCTGTGGTATTCATTTCTGCCATGGCGGTCGGGTTTGCTTAGATTGAAGAAATCTGTGATTCCCAAGGACATGTCTTGAAACTGCTCAAAATTTGAACATCAGTACAGTAAGTCTTTCCCATCCTTTGAAAACTTTCAAGCGAGATGCCATAGCCTTCTTTGTATTTTCTGGTATGGTATCTTGTAATATTTCTCAGAATTTCCGATTCAGAAACACTGGCAAAATGCAAGTTTACATTGGCCATTTTGTTTTTGTTTGGATCATGCATTATTCACCCCATAGGGAGTGAATAATGCTCATTAGCATCACCCAACTAGTGGACTAATGCAAATCCTGCATTTTTAATGGCTACGCTACTAGAGGTCTATTAGTTATAGTCCTCGAGTAGTGAAATTGGCACAATCGAGGGTGATGCTTTTCCCAAATAAATATTTCTTCAACTTGCATTTGCTAACTTTATTATTGTCTTTGCTGTCCAACAAACTGATTGATTCAGTACATGTATCTCCAGCTAATTAACAATTAGACCCGTAGTCCTCAAGGGCCATGGTTCAATAGCTCATTCGGCTTTGCCTCATGGGCTATTGACCCGTAGCCCGCAAGGGCTACAGGTCTAATTGTTAATTAGCTGGAGATACATGTACTGAATCAATCAGTTTGCTGAAAACACCAAGATCACTGAGTGTGTATATATACTAATAACAGTAATAGCCCCACAAAGGATTTACAAGGAAACCTAATGATGTGCACTGAGCTCTTGACCAGGACAATTTCACTTGAAGCTCTTCTAGAGCTGCAAAATTTTCTTACATTTATATAAAGAATTTGTCACAGCAGTCTTTAGGAATTCGTCTCTAGCTTTCACTGGAAGAGTACTGGTCAGTATTCAAAGTGAAATTGACAACGTCACAGCTGTAACTCACAGCTGTATCCCTAAGAAACCATTGATCAATATGTAGAGGTTTCCTGGCCATAAGTCATCTGGAGCTTTTGATCATTTTAGAATCCATAGAGTCTTTCGAACCTTAGTACTCAGCGCTTTATACACTTTTCTCACCCATAAGGGTGCATGGCTCATTGATGATTATTTGACTTTTAAAGCTTGGCATGTTATATCAAGTGGGAAAGGAAGTGCATTGGATGCTATAGAATCTGGTTGTTCAGTGTGTGAAACAGAGCAATGTGACGGCACTGTAGGATATGGTGGAAGGTTAGTACTGTGCTGATGTAATGAGGATCATTGCCAATATCTTGCATTTAATAGTCCTCATGTTCTGCAAATAAGGAGATGTCAATTTAGTTCTCAGGTTTTCCAATATTTTACGAAGTCTGAGAATTAATTAATGAAGACAATTCCAAGCCTGCTCATCCCCTGGGGCATTGGACAGGCATTGGACATTTCTTTTCATAAGGTGTCAAATGCCCTGGCACCATGGGGCAGCTGGTCCATAAGAAATCCCCATGGTGGCCGGCTGTGAGAGCAGTGCAAATGTCCCATATTAAAAGTTGAAGGTCAGCTCTTGACATTCTTCACTTAAGCTTATATATAAGCAACATTACCACATACTCGTGACTGCTAACTTGACAAAGTATCTTCTGTTAATGTGTGAATTTTTTTTTTCTCAAAAGTGCCTAAATTTTTGCATGTTTTCAATTTAATAGAAAAACATGGTCCTGTATTCTTGTTGCTAGATTTTGCTTTGTTTTCGAAGATACAAAGTATGCAAAAAAAACTGGCTTTCCTGGCAACATCTTTAGGTGTTTATTTGTTTTCAAGTCAGCATGCAACTGCAAAAAGTTTTTTTTTTC